GCAATATATATAATATATTATATATATATATTATATATAATTTGATGTAATAATATATTTGATGTATATCATCGGTATCCGAATTTATTATCAAGGACCGTCTAATCCGGCTCGAGGCTTAGTCATAGTTAAAACTCTTCTCCCCTCCCTGCATGTGAATTTAGTGGAGATCAAACCCAATAACTCTTTTCACATGTTCAACCTATATTACTAAATGAGTCACAAACCGTAGATTATATCGTAATATTTTAACCTCCACCAAATTAAACTAGTTTTTGTCAAAAAAATTCCTTCACCTAGTTCAAAGCCTATAGGTTTCAACTTCACTGGTACGTAGAATTATTTGGGGATAAGAAACAATTGTCTCAAATCTCTAAGCAAATCCAACATGTAAGCATAAATTCAGTACACGAAGAGCATGCAATGGGGGAAGCACTATAACCACATGGGTATATGCAAAGTCTATTCTTTTTTTTTTTTTTTTAATGTTCCTTTATTCTTTTTTTTTTTAATGTGATTTTTACATTCCCAGTATTTTTTTTTTTTTTTTTTAATGTGATTTTTACATCCCAGTAAAACAAGAACATGTTTAAAGAAATATAGATTATAAAAATGCTAAAATTAAGAAAAAAAAAATATGGGCAAAAAGAGCGCAGAGAGTGGGTGGCTGTGTTGACCAGAGATCCCATGCTTGTTTAATTTGGTTATATTTCCAAGACAGCACGAGTGTGCTTTGCAATGTAGTAACATGTTTTACAAAAACATCACTTTGATTTTCCCATGTCTATGTCTTGTTTAAGATTTCCAAACATCTCTGCGCTTCTCTTCCAAATCCCAATAATAAAAAATGTTCCATCAGACATTACACTGCTCCTATTCTATGCTTCCAAGGAACTTCTCATTTTTCAAGCCATTTTCTCTTTTTTCAATCAAATTAAAAATGGTTGCCAGCAGAAACTTCATAACTTGGTATTAATGTCCCTTGAGAGACACTAACCCTGTTAAGAAACAAAACAAAGAATATTGCAAGAAGAGAATGATTGAAAGGAACTGTTCACGTAAAGAAATGACATCAGAATTTCAATTTTCAGGTTCATCTTTGGAGGATTATGATTTTTGGTCCCATTTGCAATGATCACTATCTGATACTGAACTACTTGCAGGTTTGCTATCAATTTTCATAATGGCTTATGAACAACAAAGTGCATTGTACGTAAGGGTTGAGGCCATTCAAGACACTGAGGGTCCTTTCTTTCATTTATTTTAAGTTACTTGTCAGATTTTCTCATAAATCCCTTAGTCCAATTTTATTTGAACCTGACACAGTAATAATAAAAAAAAAGTAAGGTTTAATAAATCAAAATAAAATTATTCTATCTCGTAAAGATACTTGAAAGATAACTTATATCCTTGAACTCGTATAGAGAGACTTAAGTATAGTACTCGAAAATATGGTTTATTACTAAAAATTGAGAGAGAAAAGGTACAAGAAAAATTAATGCTACTCAAAGAATAAGCATGCTAGCTCAATCTTCAGAAGATTGTAATTACTTAACTTTGTGCATATATTTAAGAGAAAGGGCAGAGTTGGATGAAGTATCACCATCTCTCAAAATCTTCTGATGAAGAAGCAGCATCAAATCTGGGTTGCTAAATGATCATATTTATTAATCAACTTAAATAGCTACAAATAATTATTTTACTGACACTTAATTATGTTTTTATAGAGTCAAAATAATGTCATTTTCATTGATTAGATATATTTCCAATTTTAGCTATTCATGACTCCACAAAACCTGTTTATTTGGTTTGCCTAAAGATTATTAAATGACTTCTATGACTTCTATTCAATGTTTTTTTGGAAAGATTATGCAAATACAAAACAAGTACAAGACTTCATAATTATATAATACAAAAACAAGTACAAGACTTCATAATTATATATATTATATATATATATATATATATATATATATACATATATATATTGAAACATTGCAATCATTATTGCAGAAAAATTGAGATGAAACTATTTACGAGTTAAACAGCAAATTGTGGTTTTACCCCAAACTTTATTGTATCAATCACAAATAAATGCAATACAGCAATTAATTTATTCGAGACAAAAGCATATAAACAAACATGTTAGCATGCAGAAAATACAGAAAAGATAACAACAAGAACCAGCTAAACTTCCAAACCTAGTTCGGAATCCGCTATAATGAATTATATATTGAAACATTGCAATCCATTATGCAGAAAATATGAGATGAACCTATTAGAGTAAACAGCAAAATTGTGGTTTTACCCAAACTTTATGTATCAATACAAATAATGCAATACAGCAATTAATTTATCGAGACAAAAGCATATAAACAAACATGTAGCATGCAGAAATACAGAAAAGATAACAACAAGAACAGCTACAACTTCCCAAACTAGTTGGAATCCGCTATATGAATCTTTTATATTCAATATGTGCTCTGTTCAGATTAAAAGCAATCAAAAGTAAAATTTTGAAATAATTTTTGTGGGGAAAAATTAAAGAAAATTTTTTTTTGTCGAAAATTATTTGCTATATTAATACATAAAATAAGGCGTAAGACAAGCAATAACACGTAATTCGATTTAAGAAGTATAATTGAAAATCAGTGTTCAATACTCATCAGAAAACTTGTTAAAGAAGATGGAGTGCCAAAAGAAGGTCTTGTTTAAAATCCTGCCAACAACTATTAACAAATATACTAAGTGACGGAGGATATAAAACCCTGATGTACCAGGCAGAATAGAAAGACAAGTCAAGAACCAAATATTAGTTTCTGATATTAATTGAGGCTCTCTTTGATTATAAATTTGAATACGACCTGCATACTGTGATAATTTTTATTTTCAATGAACAGAAAACCATTTGTCACTTGCTGTCAACATTTCCTGTTTGCTTTAACTACAAACAATTCAGATTTTGACTATGGATTAACAATTTTGTCAAACAGTAAACACCCATCGTATCAACATTGCCAAGAATTGAAGTACAACAGGAAGACATTGATTACATCTTTTCATTAAAGCATCTCATGGATTAACTTGCTTTATGATTTGACATGTTTCACTCAATTTAAAATCAATAAACTCCATCACTTTCATTCCACATGTTCATGTTTTCTTGCGATGTTGAGGCATAGGATTGGAGTATTATTAGGTTTTAAAAGAGATGAACCGCTCAAGTTTCAGTCTAATAGAAATTCGCTTTCAGCCAACTCGTAAACTAGCTTAATAAGTAGATATCACTTAAACGTACGTAATTAAAAGTAACGTCAATTTAGTTTGGTAGATTTCGAATTCGGTTCATTTATCGAGCCGAGCCGAGCCTGAGCATATTAGCTGAATCATCCGTCCATAGCCTTTATAAGTATAGTATTTTATAGAATCTGAACTAGTTCGGTAGATGTAGAGTACTTCATGACTCAATCATATACGTAAAATACCATTTTTTATCGTTTCAAGAATTATAAACATAATATACTATTTGTTCATATCAAAAATATTAAACATATACAAGAAAAAGATCTTTGAAGAAAAGAAAGATATTATGTCAGCATTTGAAAAGGGGTTTTTTTTTTTTTTTTTTTCCTTCTTATGGAAATTAGAAATTATTAGTTAGGGTCTCAAATTTTAATTTTTATATAATATTAGAAGGCAAACATTCGATTGTTGGGTTTGAAAGTGAATGCAAGGAGGTCTCAAATGATTATTAGTTGAAGCTGAGTACACTTATTTAAACAGGATGTGCTGGAAAGAGCAGACAAAATAGCTTTTTCTTATTCCAGGTTTTACTAGCATCAACTGATGTAAAGGGCGAAGCATTTATTATACTCTGTTTAGTCCAAAGTCATTTCAACTTTAAAGAAGGTGACAAGTGAAAATCAACTCATCTTCTTCTTGTTTTTTTAATGATTTTTATTTTTTTTACTCAGATTGACCTAAATTACTGTCTTTTTATATGTTGTTTTTGTTCTATTGAGGATGTTCTAAAATCCCATCACAGCTTACCACCGAGATTTATGTGCTAACACAATAAAAGCTTCAAGATATATGGAAAAACTGGGTAGAGAAAGCAAACTATACAGAAGTATACAAACACTATTAATTAATAATTAGCATGTGAGCAGACCTTATTCTTAAGTTTTTGCAAGTCAAAATTCTTTAGCAAATTTCAAATATTTAATGCTATATTATCTCCTTGAGTTAGTATTTTGTCTTTCGTTTTCTTTTTTTTTTAACCCTCGTTTATTTTTCTATTTTCACATTCTTTATTCTCATTTATTCAATTCTCATCAAGGTTTGTTTTGGGTCAATCCATAAAAGAAAATCACATTAAACAAAAAGCAAAATAAAGACATCAATGAGACTTAACTCCATGCTACTTGAATGGGCTTTGCTAAATGGCACGTCGCAATCTATGTAAATTTACAGTTACACCCTTAACGTGATATCAGCAATATCTAAATTGCTAAAAAGTTTTTCTAAGACATTATAGTATTTTCACTCATATTGATTCTAACACAAGTTGTGTCAAAAATATTTTCCTTACTAGAACAGTCTCCATGTTAGTAAAATTGAGAGCCATAAACAAAATAGAAACAAAACAGTGCATTAACATTCATTCAAACATAAGAAACCTAAGTATAAATAAACTAAAATATCTGAGAACAAACAGCCATGTTTCATCAAAATTTTGCTTCAATAAAAGCCCAAGTCCAATTTGATGGCATGGCATGATTGCGTAATCCAAAGTTCTTGACAAACAAAAATCCTCCATTGCTTATATAAGCTCTCTATTCAAATTTCAAATATAAATTCCACTCCAGAAGACAGGGAAGAAAAGTTATTAACCATCATTTCCAACTAAACTGATCTGCAACGGAGAACCGCTTCATTCTCAAATGTACAAACACTAAGAATCCGCTTCATTCTCAAATGTACAAACACTAAGAATCCACTTGACATGAAGAAATTTAAAAGCTTTAATTTCATCAACTTTATCAAATTCAAATATAAAGAGAACTTGGATGTTGCAGTGATATAAATTAGGGGCAAAAAATATACATAGATGTAATTTTATAATGAATCAAGAAGCAATTAGAATAAGAATCCTTCAAAAAATTGAAATGCGCATCAAATTTCCAGTTTTTGCATCAAATCAAAAGCACCCGTACCCATTTTCACTGGCAATCCAAGACAAATCCTAGCAGATGGAGTCTCTAAGTTATCAGTTTCACCATGCAGCGCCGCTTCAACAATGAATTTGGAAGCTGTCTCAAAAGACATTTTACTAAAAGGCGATATTGACTCTGCTATTCCCCCAAAACGGTTCATTGGACGATAACCACCCGAATGGGTCATAAAATCAGCAATAAGTGACAAGTGCCGGGTACTAACAGATATACCATAAGACTTGAATACATGGTTTATCTCTCTAATGATAGTTTCCCTGGCAGCTTCTACTCCATAAGTTGTTAACATAGCAGTGATGTTATTGGAATAAATATACCTGATATCCAGGTGATCATGCATTTTCCAAAAAGTACTAAAATCTAACCCAGTTGCTTCTAGTGCAGGAACATTTTCTTTTTCTTTAGCACTAATATCAACCCTTTTCTTTGGATCATCCCCATAGTAAATCACTTGATTCTCTTTGCAAGTAGTCAATCGACATCTTTCAATCCTCCCAGGGTTCTGGATGTAGACCTTCTTGGCTGTCTTCTGAGCAATCTACATATATGATTAAATAAACATTTACTCTCACCTATTGGTGTTAGAAAGAATTTAATAGGATATGAACAAGAACACCATTAGTGTTTTTTGACATAATTACCCACTTACATCAAAATTCAGTAAGTGGTAAACATAATTATTCTTAGGATGATATCAACTAACGGATAATGATTCACCACTATGATGCTCAATTAAGATAGGGCAAGACAACATCAGGATATGGCAGCACATAAGTATGCACATGTTTATGATGCTAATCAGCCTAATTAATCAAATAGAAGGTGGATAGGGATTACAATCCTTGGCCACTAGTCTAAGAGCACTAGAAACTTAAAACAAATATCATGATCTTAGGACAGGCACAATAAGAAAAAAAGTTAAAAATCTATCAAATTGCCAAGGCATTTTAAATGGAGGTCAACATTGACATACAAATATCAATATGGCAAAAGCTGAAACACCAAGTTTAAGTTACCTCAGCTAGCAAAATATGAGGTTCATTGGTGAATTTGAAGTGGACCTCAAAGTGCATATCTCTGGCTTCCACAAAGATTGCTCTATCATATTCCTTTTTGGATAATTTTGGCCTGTGTGTTCGTTTCGCCTTTTGTTTCTTCTTATTCCTTGACTTGGCCTTAGAATGGGTTTCACCCTGTGATGGACTTTCTGTAGCTTTGTCCTTCGACTTAGACTTGGAGGCCTTCCTAAGGAGTGGAGTTTCAGAAGCTTTGTTATCAAGCATGGCATCCTTACCAGTCTCAGTCTCATTATCTCCCTGATCAATTTCGCTTTCAAATCCAGACTCCTCACTAGCTGTAGATTCCCTTTCATTCAGTTCCTCAATGCCATCATCATAATCCATCTCATCAGTAGCTTGAACCTTTCTTTTCTGTGCATCTAAACCAAGATCCTCAGCCCTTTCACCATCATCATCCTCATCATCCTCATTACTGTCATCATTTTCTTCCCTGTGTAATCTGTTACCAGAAAAATCTTGTTCGTTGTCTTCCCTGCGTGATCTGCCACCAGAAAAATCTCCTTCATTTTCTTCCCTGCGTGTTCTATCCCCAGAAACATCTTCTTCTGCATCATTTGAAGCCCTTCGACTTGATTCCGAAATATTTTTAATGCCGCTAATTCTAGAGAGCAGAATAATATGACTTTGTATAGCATCCTCCAAGTCCCTCACAAAATCCACCTCTAAGATCTCTTCCCAGTCTTCTACTGATACATCAGCATATTGCGGATAGTGTACAGGTCTGTAAAGCTTCATTTTAAGCTTATAAATTCTGCAAATGCCATCACCCTGAATAGCAAATGGGAGGACGGATACTTCCATACTCTCTACTATGTCTGCCACACTGACCTTCTTCAACTTATCAGCAAGACGTTCCGCATCCTCCCTGCAGACAATAAATATATCAATTTATTTCTTCAGCCACAAACACATCCAACAACCACCTTGCTTTGAACAATAGGTCCATGCCACTGTTAAAACAATTACTTGCTTTAAACTGCATATGTGGTTAGAAACACAATACATTGATTCATATATATCACCTATAGACTAGAAAAAGAACTTGAATTATCCTGTTAAACCATCCTCCTGAAATGATGTTTATATACATTAATTTCATTTACTCTGCCTAAGCAATCTAATCAAACATACTCATGAACAAAATCAAGGCAAATCACCTATGCTCGTATCTAGATCATTTATTAAAAGAACGTAAAATGTGCATTCAAACTTGTTTGTTAATTTCAAGAACAAACATTGACAAGATTTTATCAAGCATGTCCATGAGGTGTTCATCAACAACAATAGTCTACTTAGAGGACAATATAGTTCGTATATTGTAAATGGTTCCTAATTTACCATCTCAGGTTCTCATTTGATATTTCCAAACTTGCACCATAACTCATTATGTCAAAAATCAAGTGGGGCAAGGAGTCTGAAATTTTGGAGTTCTGTAAAAGACAAATTTCCAGGGATATAGGAAATTTAACATAGCAAAGATTTACATGTAACATAATGATCTATACGCTAACTTTGATAACCCAACTGTTTTTCATTCGTCCACCCAATGTTAAGGTCAAGCTCAGACTCCGTGCCTGAGATCAAAGGCAATTATACAAGACATTTGGAGCCATTTATTTGATGTAGTGCTGTTACGGTCCCAAATTTGGATCTAGTTATGGGTCTTTGAATTAGGGGATCAGGTTTGAGATGGGTATCTTAGAAGGAGTTTTCTTCCTTGTATCAATGGTGACAGACTTAGAGAGAATCTATCAAAGGCAATTATACAAGACATTTGGGAGCCATTTATTGATGTAGTTGCCTGTTACGGTCCAAATTTGGATCTAAGATTATGGGTCTATTGAAATTAGGGGATTTCAGGTTCTTTGAATTAGGGGATCAGGTTTGAGATGGGTATCTTAGAAGGAGTTTTCTTCCTTGTATCAATGGTGACAGACTTAGAGAGAATCTGCAATCTCTTAGAGCTCGTCAAGAGAGAACTCTACAATATCTGAGTTTTAGGAAATCAAAACCTTTTCTTAACAGTCTGCTTGCATTTTTCCTGATATCACAGCCTTTTAAACAACTAAATATAAAGCTAAAACTACCCACTACCCGCTACCCACTAATAGCTACCCATTACAATAAATAACTTGCTTAACCACCCCACTAATACCCGCGAACAAAGAAACTTATAATAACATGATAAACACTGAATAACTAAATAGCAGTAAAACTACCCTAATTCCAGCAGTGCCATAACAAGTGCACAACAAACTGAGCTCTGTTCCAGGATATATTCCTTCAGAGCACACAATTATTGCAAGAAGCAATAATAGGAATGGACACGAAGTCTTAGATGTTGTCTGGTAAAATTGAAAATTAACTATTGAAATTGAAGAGCTGGGTATTAAGCATTGAGCAATACAAGTGCAGAAATTTATAAATTTCAAAGTTAATTAGCCTCATTGTATTTGATGTAAATTGTAGGTTAAAATTTTAACTTATCATTTTAAATGAAATTTAGGTTAGCTGAAACGATTAAGCTTTGTTTGGATGAAGGGAGGGAGGGATAATTAAAGTAAGGTATAGTAAAGTATGGTAAGAGAAAGTATGTTAGATGTCTTTTTTGTGTTTGTGGAGATGGTATGGTAAATGAAGGTTTAATAACATTGTTTTATTTAGTTTAATGGTACAGGAAAGTAATGTTAAATGTAAAGATTACGAAAATATCCTTGTTATGGAAGATTTATAAATATAACTATGGATAATTTTGGAAATCAAATTTTTTAACCATGCTTACACCCTAATTCGGCGGGTTGAAGATTGGGTATTTAGATGGGTTTTCAACCCCTCAAATAACTCTCGAAAAACCATCCTCTCCCTCAAACCCTCTTCCCAAACAACTAAATAATCTCCCCTTACCTTGCCATACTCTCCAAACCCATCAAATAACTTTCATCCAAACAATCTGTTAAATAATACGTAAATAAATGTTATCAAACAACTTAAAACTAAGTCGTTGAAAATGGTGTTATCAAAAACCAACTTAGTGTTGGCTGATAAAGTTTATGCAACTTACTTTGTTCTTCCCTTTTGCAGGGGGCAGGTGATAATTGGTGTTTTGATATTACTTGCAGCAGTCATCAAGATTTCTTGAAGACGTGGGATACCCAGGGTGACATTCATTTCACCTCGCCCAGCCAAATGGAAAGTATTCAACCTGTAAATCAACAACAACATTTAAATGAACAAATATTATTTGCTCAAGCGACTTAAGTTGAAAATAATGAACTCAAGTGCATATGAAGAATAAACCTCTATATTTATAACTATACGTACATAATGGAGGCAATACTAAAATTTGCATGCATGAACAGAAAAGAAAAAATAAATCCTTCAATTATCTATTACACATGCATTAAAATGAATGAAATTTTTTAATTATGCAAAATTAGCCAATGTAGGATCACTGTTTCATTTTACTCCTTCAACCTTCAACTGTATTAACAAATAATTGCCCTCATTAATATTTGCACCAACTCAGAATTATGCTAAGCCCTTCCCAATTACCCCATCAGACCTTCCAAAGTTAGACTCCATTAGATAAATTTAAATATCACTGCATGACTTCTGAAACTTTCAGACTCATCCGCTGTCATTTAAGTTGGTCCATTCATATATATCCAAAACAATTCTATGAGAGCACCCAAACTTACAAGATCTCCAATTTGTAACTCATTAATATCAACTAGTAACCAAATAAAAGTCCAATTTTGTAATGCCTTTCATCTCCTACTATCAATTGTTAACTCTCCTCGTATATATCTCCATTCAATGTGAACTAGAAGATAAGAAAATAAAATTGTTACCTTGATTTAAAACAAAACCAAACACAAAATCCAAAGTAGAGTAATTTGAAAAGACCATCAAAGAAGAAAAAAATTTTCCTTGAAATCAAGCGTTACCATAAAATGATTGAAACCCCCCCCCCCCCCCCTGATTGGAAACACCCCCCCCCCCCCCCCCCCCCCCAAAAAAAAAAAAAAAAAAAAAAAAAAAAAAAAAAAAAAAAAAAGCAGAGGAAAAGAAAAAAAAAAAAAAAAAAAAAAAAAAAAAAAAAAAAAAAAAAAAGCAGAAAGAAAGAAAGAAAGAAAAGGGAAAAAATAAAAAGATAAAAAGATATAATGATGATTGTATTATACAACTTACAAAACCAAATTATAATTGAACCTCCAAATTACATCCCTATTATGTAATTCATGAGCTGAGAACAAAAGATGAATTATTTTCAGGTACATAATCAAAATCATATTAAGCTATGTTTTCTCAGAGCTCAAACACAACATCAACTGTACAACCAGCATCACACAGTTTTAACTGCAGACGCATAAAGCCATAAACCACTGAACCCCAAAAACAATAATAAAAGGTGTGAAGTACTTGTTGTATGTTGAGGAAAGAACACAAACATACAGGTATACATAAACTAAATATAGAAAAGAAATCTCACGTCATCTGTGTTGATGGCTCTCCTACTGACTGAGCAGCCAGCACACCAACTGGTTCTCCAGGCTGTGCAAGACTCAAGAGGAACTTCTGCTTCATTAAGTTATATAAATCCTCATGTTTCACTAAATTAGAAGTTACACGCCCCATCAAAGAGAAATCATCAAGGAATTTGGCTGCTTTTTCACTAAGAGCTTTCGGCAATTCCGAAACATAAGAGTTAAATGTGACAAGCTGGTTACCACATTGTTTGTAAATCATGTCTTGATTCTGAAAATAAAAAAATAATAAGAAAATAGTTCAGGATCCAGATTCTGAAAAACAGATTGATCTATTAAGTTGTTCCATTAAAATTCACACCCCCAAAAACCATAAGCAAGTTCTCACCATTGCCAGTTGTTCAAATTTTGCAATGAAGCTCGTCCTGTGAACATCCACACCATCTTCTCCATAGTAAAACTGTACGACTGAGCCATCAGCATCACGAACTGTATGATCATAACTAATTTTCAAACACTCGAGGTTTTTAATCAAGCATCTTTGCAAGTAACCACTACGAGATGTTTTCACTGCTGTATCAACAAGCCTATAGAATAAAACGCACAATAATTAGTAAAATAATCAACAATCAAATGACAGATTCTGAAACCTGGTCCGAACAAGCAAGGTGCCATGTAACAGGAAGTCTTTGCATATAATACCAAACAGCACAATGTTAGCATTCTGACAGATAAAAATCCAACTCAAAATGACGAGAAATAAAGTAACAGTTGAGCATGTGGCCTAAATTTAGGTCTAGCTTCTAGATAGTCAAAATAGACATTCTACAAAGTTGTTTTAACCAAGTAAGGTTTCATCTGCAAATCATAAATTATACTTGTCATTGGTGGT